TTGTTGAGGGCCTCCACCACGTGGCCCCAGTCCAGGCGCGGGGCCCCGTCGCCGTCTGCCTGGTGGAACACAAAGTCACGGAACAGTTTGAGCAGGTAGCGGTCACCCGTCTCAGACCAGTGGCTCATCTGTGTGTATATGGAGGGGGGGGGTGAGAGGGTGCGTGGGCGGGCTGAGGGTAGAGCGCTTGTGTGCGTGTGTGCGTATGTATGTGTGTGTGTGTGTGTGTGTGTGTGTGTGTGTGTGTGCGCGCGCACGCGCAAGTGCTTGCTTACGCAGACGAGAGGGCGGCTTACTGTCACAGAATCCAGCGGCATGGGGCCCACTAAGCCCCACCCCTCTGCCCCTCCCTCCCGGGGGCCCCCCACCAGGTCGCCCTCTGGCCGCTCGTTGATGAAGCCCAGCTTCACCAACAGCCGCAGCAGCCGCCCATTCTCCATCTCCTTGGCCAGGTCTGACACCTGGTGGGGCGGAGTGTTGCATGTGGGTGCGGGCAGGTGCTTTTGGGACAGTGTTTGTGCAGGGGCGTTTTGGTTTGAACGGTGTCGGCCAGGGGATGGGGAGGAAGGGGATGGGAGGGGGGGGATAGGGAGGAAGGAGTTGATTTTGTACCTGGTGTTCGAACCAGCATTGGCGGAGAGTGGGGCCTGCGCAAAGGCACGGCCTGCGTGACACAATGCACCCTCTTGCATCAGCAGCAGACCCCAGAGCGTCCACCCTTGTTCTCCGTGCTGCCCCGGTGCCCCCCCGCTCTCCCCCCCCACCAGATTGTCGTTGAACGCCGCCAGCGCGTCCACCTCCACCATCATGCGCTCCCCGGCCAGCGCGGCCACGTGCCGCCAGCTGAACGCGCCGCCCTCCCCCGCCCCCAGCAGCAGCGCCAGCGCGCGGACAAAGTCCGGGGAGAAGTGCGCCGCCGCAAAGTCCAGGTTGGGCACCGCAACGCCGCCGGCTGAGCAGGCCAGCGTCAGCAGCAGCTGGCCCATGGCCTTGTGCGAAGGAAACGTGAGGGGGGAGGGTGGCGTCATGGTGGTCAGCTGGCGCCGCGGTGCAGGGTGCTGCGCATCACTCACCCGTGACAAGGTCAGGTGCGCGCTCTGACCGCGCCACTGCACTTGCCAGCACACCAGAGCAACCTGACCGTCTCGGCCCGACCCCAGCTCACCATGACGTCGTCGCGCTGAGCCTGCAGCAGCTCCTCCTGCCCCGGCGCCACATCACCCGCCAGTGCCTCAGCCAGCCCCAGGCATCCGATGCGCAGCCGCCCCAGAGGCAGCACCAGCACTTTGCTGGGGGACAGGCACGCGGGGCGCACCGCCAGGCCTGCCGCGTGCACTGCGCGCAGCGCGGCCGAGAGCTGCGCGACACCCCGGGGCGGAGGAGACGCGCGTGGCGCCAGGATGAGGGAGGACGGGCACATGCGGCGCACATTGCGTGGGCGCTGCTCGTCCAGCCGGGTGCATTTCAATGTGTCCAAACAGTACAGACCATGCGCAAGCCGGGTCCAATTGGTGACCACCGACTGGCCTGGCCAGCGCGGCTGCCACGTGGATGCCCCCACCGATCTGCCTGCCCCCCACCTGCACAATGTAGCTCCAGAGGGCGTTCTCGTTGGGTGAGTTGCGCACGAGCTGGCCGGATGCCGTCTGGGTCGGCATCAGGTGGGCCTGCGCCAGTACATGTGCGCGTGCGCACGCGCGTGTGCGTGAATTTTTCAGGAGGGAACAAGGCGACAAACAAGGGTGCAACAAGCCCTGGGAGGTTGCAGCTTGAGGATGCTTCGTGAGCGCTCAAGGAGCATCATCAAGACTCCGACCCGCCAGGCTCCCTTGCTGCACCCTCGCGACGAGGCGGAGCCCCTCAGCCCTTGCGGAGGGGCCGAGCCCGCTCTGCCCCATGCTCGCGCCGCTGCATGGCGGTCGCCATCATCCCCGCCGCCCCACCTGGGCGATGGTGACGGCCCCGGGGTGGTATGGGTGCGCCACGACCAGGGAGGGGCTCCCGTCCAGGTCAGCTGTGACAAAGGCCTCGCGCGGGCACACCAGTCCCGGGTGCCCCGACAGCTGCGACCAGTGCTCCACAGACTGCCGCGCGTTGGAGAGCAACTCGCCACTGGGCAGCACCTAGGCAAGAGGATGCGCAGGCAGGTGTGGTGGAGGTTAGCAAGCAAGGGACCGGGTGTTCTGGGGAAAGATTAGCACGGGCGGTAAGGTGGGCCTGCTGCAGGACCGGGTTGCAAGGATGCGCACGACTGCCTTCAGGCGGCGCGCTGCTCCTTGACTTGCATCGCCTTTTGCCCATGAATCCCATCCGATACACGTGCCTGCTTGCCGTCTACACGCCGCAGTGCGTACGCCTGCCCGTCCTGCGCGCTGACCCCCTTGACCACGCAGGTGCGCACGCCCAGCGCCGCCGATGGGTGCTCCTCCGCTGCTGTCAGGTCCTCCAGGGGGTAGAGCGTGTGGTAGGGGCCCACCTGGTGGGGACGCGGACAGCGAGTGTGTGTGTGTGTGTGTGTGTGTGTGTGTGTGTGTGTAAAACGGGTGATTTGTAGACACCCGCACGCAGTAGTACCCGTGATAAGTTCAAGGCAAACCCAGTAAGACAACGGGTGCTTTGCACCAGCTGCACAGCCTAAAACACATGCAGCTGCGGCACATGGGTGCAAGCTCTCCTGGCCGCGGCCACACCATGTCTGGCAGCGCCGGCTCGTCTCCTGTCGGCATCCACTGCAGAAGGGTGTGGCCAGGGCCATGGCAGCATGCCAATTGCCGTTGGTTTGCGCAAGATGGGGTTGGCAGCTGCTGACGGAGCCACTCCCCCAGGGCTGTCGTGTTATGCACTCTGGATGCCGCAAGGCATCCACAGTCGGAGCTGCAACACAGCTCAAGGCCGCCGGAGCTTCAGGTGTCCGCTGCCTTGTTGCTTTGTCTGGCCGACACACGCCCTCCCTCTTGTCATGGCCCGGCCCCCGCCCCCACCTGCGACTGCACCAGGTAGTTGTACTGCTGCAGCTGCTGACGCAGCGCCTCGCTCATGAACTGAGCGGCCAGCAGGCTGCGGCCCTGCCCGGCAGAGTAGTGGCCGTGGGCGCCGCCGTAGTTCCCCTGATGCTGCGCCAGCAGCGGGGGCCGCTTGGCGCCGCCGCTGCCGCGTGCGCCGGGCGGGGCGTCCAGCTCCAGCCCGGGGCCCAGGCCAAGGCCGGGGCCAAGCCCGCCGCCGCCATATGCGCCCAGCGGCATGCCACGCCCGCTGCCGCTGCCGCCGCCGCCGCCGCGCCCGCTGGGACCTCTGCCGCCGCGGCCACCGCCGCCCCGGCCTCCGCCCGGGCTGGGGAAGGACGCCGCGGGGCCGCCTCCGCCTGACCTAGCCTTGCCTGGGGACCGCAACGGCGGCGCGAGGCTGCGCGCGAAGGGGTTCCAAGGGGGAGGGCAAGGGGGATGTGTGACTTCCTGGGGGTAGGAAGCAAAGCATTGACGTCCAGTCGCGCTCGAGAGTCGGGCATGGGGCGATGCAGTGTCCTGCGCCCCTGGGGTGGTGCTTGAGCGCCCTCTACCAGGCGGCAGGAGCAGCTGCGGCAGATAGCCCGCAGCACGAATGTCAGTGCCAGCGGCAACACGCTTCAAGGCGCACCCTTTGCTGCTGCCTGCGCTGCCGGGCTGCTGCTGCTGCTGCTGCTGCTGCTGCTGGGGCGATTTTGGGACCGAGTCAGCGCTGGCGGCGCTTGCCGCCGCTGGGCCTGCCGCCCCTGGTGCAGTGTGGGGTGCTGTTTTGGGCACGAAGCTGGTAGCCCCCGCCGACATCCTGGCAGCGATGCTGGCCGTGGCTGCAGCTGCGGCGACCGCGCTGGCCCCGCCCGGCCCCCCGCCACCCCGCGGTGCCTGCAGCGACGGGCCGCTGGACGGGCCTGGTAACCTGCTGCCAACAGGGCTGCTAGCGCCACCGCCTGCCGCTGCCGCAGCCGCAGCCGCGGCGCCCTTGGGTCCCCATCCCTTGGCCGGCTGCGCAGCCTGGGGCTTGGGCGAAGCGCTGGTACTAGGCTCCTTGCCACTGTTGGGCGTTCCGGGGACAAAAGGGCGAGCGTTGATTGAAGCCTGCAGGCCAAAGCCCACCGGCTTGCCAACCAACTTGGCATCGCCGGCGCCAGCGGGACCCACGCTGCTCCCACTCCCGCCGCCCCCTGGCATGTCGCGGATGGGGGTGCCGCTCAAAGCGCCGCCAGGGGGCGCGCCCGCATGCAGGATGCTTGGCGCGCGGCCTGGCGGGCCTATTCAGCTGTATAATGTGCGTAAATTTCCAATGGCGGGGCTGATCCGGGGCCTGGGGCCTTCAAACCCCTGCAATCAAACGGCACGGGTGACGGTGATCTCCACAAATGTGTAGGTTCTTGCGGGCAGGCACGGGTAATTCATATGCATCACAGTGTCATCGTTGGGCAATGCGGCCATCTGTGTCTGTCCAGTGCAAGTCCTGCCACACCGATCTGCTCTGCACACCGACCGCTGATGTTCTCTAAGCCTGGCAGCAGCGCGGCCAGCGATCCCCACACGCTTAAATCCGGGCGTGCGCAGTGCTACGCGGTGAGGACAACGGATGACCGCCTGTGGCGCGGGCTGTGCAGCGCTGAGCGGGGCGGCTTGATGCCGATCACACCTACGCCCCGTTGCGCTGCAAGCATCCCTCCTCCCTCGCTATTGGCCCGCACAGGCCCGCGACGCGTTCTACCAGTGTGTGAGGGAGTGCGGTCAGCTGTACACGATTGGCTCGGACGTGCCCAGCAAGTGCACCAAGCTCAGGGCTGCGTATGAGGGCACGTGCCTTCCCAGCTGGGTGCGCGGTTGGGAGGGCGAGGGGCACGCCAAACGGCACGAGATTTTTTTTGCAGGGTGTGGCTTGAGCAGCAGTGGTTGGCAGCAGTGGCATGGTGTGAGACTGAGGGTTGTCCGCTCCCTGGACCGTGGCCCTCACTGCGCTGTGTCGATGCGGGCCGTTTCACTACGTGGACAGGTGAAGCACTTTGACGAGCAACAGACCCAGGAGGCTAGAGCAGCCAAGCGGCTGCACACGGCTATACAGCACAAGGCCAGCACGGCTGCAGGCAACCTGTCGGGCGCTGCCCAGCGCTGAGCGAGCCAGCAGCGCAAAGCAGGCAAGCAGCCGGCGATCCTTAGCGTCTGCTGCGCACTGCGCAGCAGTGAGGGCCCATTTACGTGCAGCGAAGCAGCGGCAGCAACAGCAGCAGCAGCAGCAGCAGCAGCAGCAGCAGCAGCAGCAGCAGCAGCAGCAGCAGCAGCAGCAGCAGCAGCAGCAGCAGCAGCAGTAGCAGCTTCAGGGCGGAGGTGAAGCAGAAGCTGCCCCAGAGCCGCCATGGGCCCTGCTGACGATCGGGACCGTGACCGCAGCCACCGCAGCCGCGAGCGCTCCCGCTCCAGGTCGCGTGACCGCTACCGTCGGCAGAGCAGCCGCGAACGGGAGCGGCCCCGCGAGCGGGAGCGCGACAGGTCGCGAGAGCGTGACAGGGACCGCGACAGGGACAGGGACCACCGGCGTAACCCCAGAGGCAGGGAAGAGCGCCGCCACACCCGCAGCCGCACCCGCAGCCCTGCAGACCGTGACCGGAGGCGCAGGTGCATGGGTTATGGTGTCTCAAGCTCCAAAGCCATTGACAGGCATAGCTACTGCGGCGGTTGCTTTTGCTGTGTGTTGCAGGCCTCCCTGCAGCCTTTGCATCCAACCTGAGGCTGGCTGTGCCCCCACCCATCTCACCGCGCCTTTTCAGTGGCCACGATGAGGAGGAGCGCAGCAGGCGGCGGCGCGAGCGTGAGGAGGATGAGCGCGAGCGGGCCCGTGAAGAGGCGGAGCGGCAGCAGCCCAGGTGGCCCAGGGAGATGAGCAAAGGGGCGGCGCAAAGGCGGCTGTGGCACATGACCACAGGTGCTGCTCTGCAGCAGACTGAGCTTGAAGTGTGGCACGACCTGTGCATTGTGCGGACCCATTACTTGTGCACGGTGCGCGCCTAATGTTTGTGGAACATGCACGCCTCACACTCGACGCAGGGAGCCGGGCGGTCGCGACCGCAGTTACGACCCTGACAGGGCCGGCAGGGGGGCGGGGCGTTCAGAACGGGACCCTGATCGTGCAGGGCGCGAGCAGGGCCGCGACCCAGAGCGTCGCGGCGAAGATGGACAGCGGGTCATGGAGGGGGGCCAGGACGGCGAAGGTGTTGGGGGCGGCGAGGCTGGCGGCGCAGAGGGCGAAGTCGGCGGCGCGGCCACGCTGGACGCGCCGCTGTCCCAGGAGGAGATTCAGATGATGCAGGCCATGGGTGTGCCCTTCAGCTTCGACACCACCCAGGGCCGTCACGTGGAGGACGACAGCGCCAATGCCAGCGGCATCAAGGTCAAGTCAACACGGTCTGCCCGGCAGTTTATGAACCGCCGCGGAGGGTTCAACAGGCCGCTGCCTGCAGAGAGGACGGTGCGCAGCACAAGATGGCTGCAGGGCGGGGTCAGGTCGGTTACTGCGAACTCTTCTGGCTATGCACGCTGGTCATTGGCTGGGGTGTATCTCCTTCTGCACTGCCGCGGTTTTCGGCGCCTTTGCCAACGTACCCCCCTTACTCTTCTCACCTTCTGTGCTGGCTGACAACCCGCCGACCCTGCACTCCAACACCGGCACTGCATCAACGAGCTCAGGGAGTCAAGGTCGCCAGGGTGAGGCTGGGGGGCTTGGCTGAAACACGCCTTGCAGTGGGTTGGCCCGCTGCCCTTTGCACCCGAGTGCTTTTTCGCGCGCACCTGATGATCCCCTCTTCCTCACATCAACGTGCTGCGCAGGACTAGGCGAGGAGTGTTGGCTGCCACTGTCCTGTTGGCACGAAGTATCACAAATACCTCGGTAACAGTCACCGGCTGCTTGACATGGTTCAGGGCATGCCACGGTGTATGTCCATCCTGCAGGTTCGGATGTGAAGAGAGTGAGGGGCAGTCCTTGTGAAGGGCAGTGCACGAAAGTCCGCTACTGTAGTGGGTGTTGGGCGGTGGCTATGGCGGTTTTTTTTCCCTCGGGAGCCCTCAGAGACACAGTATGTACGTCAGGCAGCAGTTGGAGTGTCAAAGTAGATCCCACAAGCTGCGATGTTTGCACCATGCTTGAGCATCGGCGCACGCGACACGCAAGGGTGAGGTCGCCGGCGTGTGCCGAGCGGTGGCAAGGCACACGCCTCGCCCCAAAATTCAAAGCTGCACATATGTGACGACACTTCCAAAATAATAATCGTGTCGAGCGATCAGTTCTGGTTGAGGCCTTGTACAACGTCTCCTGCCCTGTCGCAGCGGTGGACTGAGGGCAGAACGCGCGATTGTCACTCTCATCAGAGGACAGAACACAGACGAGGGCACGGCCGAAATCATGTGGCAAAAATCTGCTCAGACTTGCACCAGCACGACACCCCGGAGTTTGCCGGCGAGGTGAGGGGTCTCTTGAACCCCCCCTAAATACTCTTCTTGCCGCGTGTGGGCCCATGAATGCTACCCACAATATTAATATGTTGAGGGCGGCTGGTTGTGGTGGGAGTGGCATGCAGCTAGCTGCACATGACGGCGTCGGCTGCGGGCGCGCAGCACATCTGTTGGCGACTGACAGGGCGTTTGCCATCGCCAAGCCTGCGGCCGGCAACAACGACGCGGCGCACCATTTCACCCACACTGTTGCCCAAATCCAGGCCGATTGCCCCCATCCGGCTACGCATGAGCCCTTTGTCACACCGTGTGCGGCATGCACCTGTGGCGGCAGTTCTGCAGCACGCTTATGCGGATTCCGCCCTGGCAGAGTACCAGCTGCGCAGCGCACCTGTGCTGGGCCACGGTCACGCAGCCCCCAGGGCAGGTGGTGTCACCGCGGCGTGGCTGGAGGTGGCCGTGCAGGAGGCAGTGCGCCACATCGGCGCGTCCGTGGCCCATGGCTGCAGCGGGCCTGCGCAGCCCTTCCTGCTGCTGGGCAACCCGCGCCCGGGCGCACCGTTTGAAACTGTGCCCCTTGGTGAAATGGATCTGGCCGGCGGCTGGGCGGGGGTGGCGGCGCAGGTTGGCAGCGCCACGTCCCTGGGCATGTTGCTGGTGCAGCCTATGCCGGAAGGGGAAGGCGAGGGCGGGGAGGCAGCGGGCGGCTGCGTGGCGTCGCAGCTGCAGCGCACCCTCAGCGCCAGTAGCGGCGGCGGTGGAGCTGCGGGTGACGGGTGCCGCGAGTGCGCTGCCGTGCTCGCTGCTGCACAAGCGCAGCGCGGCGGTGCCCGCACTGCAGCTGGTGGCCCTGAATCCAGCACCCTGATTGCGGGGCGCATTGGGGACTGCTGCGGCGGGGATGCGGCAGGGCAAGCAGCCGCCGCTGCTGCGACTGCTGCGCCAGCGGCAGAGGCGGCGACTGCGCCGCCATCGTGCGCGATTCACAGCGGGGGCAGGCCCGCTTTCTACGGCGTGGTGGTCCAGGGCCCCCACTCTGCCACCCCTGACGGCTGCTACCTCCTGAAAACCACGCATGCTGCGAGCGCTGTGCTTGGCTGCACATGCAGCCACTACGTTTTGACGCGTGTGAGCAAGGGGCCCTCGCTGCACCAGCAGCTGACGCGGTCTTGGACTGTCTGAGCGCCTTGTTTTGCGCAGAACTCCCTTTCACTGCAACAAGCATTGACACCACCGCCGGCCGGCCATCCTGCGGTTGGTCACGCACAACACCCTTGCTCCCTTTGCACACTGTTGTACTCTCCTGGTCAGCTGTTGTCCTGGATGCCTGGGCCTTTTGCCCCTGCTAGCTAGCTCAAACCAAGCAGCGCCCCTGTGAAATACCAGGGCTACGGCTGCCATGTCACTCGTGGCGCCTGTTATGCACACATACCCTTTCAGTCCTTCGCGCGGTTTTTCGAGGGTTTGCGACATCGTGGCGCCGCCCCACGCGCAGCCACCAGCCCAAGTGCAGCTTGAGTGTTTTTGTAGGCGCCGGTGCGCCCAACAAGCAGTGCTATATGTAATTTCTACAACAGGTCCATGTCTGGCCTCGGGGGGTTGAAGCGAACGGGTTTGTTTGAGATTACACCTGATAAAGAAGGGCAGCAGCTGGGGCCCACGTTTGAAACAATCATGCCTGCGAATTGGCACAAAAATCCACCATGCAGCGCGTGCTCTGCAGCAGGCCGTCCAGTTTGCGCCACGACGCGCTCAGGCGCCGCTGCATGCGCTCTGCAGCCGCCGCCAGCTCCTCGTGGGCGATCAGCGCGTCACCATGGATCTGGCCAGGGTGTGTGTGTGGGG